TGTGGGTTGGGCGCACCTGGTCTGGTTTATTTCTGCGTCCCGGCACCTGAATGAAGAGAGAGCAGAGCGCCTGCATAGGACCAGCCCTTCCCCTCCCTTCTCTCCGCTCACCCTACCACCCAGGAGCGCCCCATGCAGGGTCCCGGGCACACAGGCCCTCTCCCTGCCCGGGGGTGCTCGTTACGGAGGGACCCCTAGTGCATCCGGCTCGCTCAGAGATCAGGGGCTGCTAGAGCTGCTCCTGTTTTTATATTTTCAGGAATTTCCCACGCTGGTTGTTAAACCAGCCATTACTGAAAAACAAATGATGTAAACTTATGATTATGAAAATTACATTTAAAGCAAAGGTGATAAATACTCAACACTCCCCTCCTCCCTAATCTCTTGACTACATTTTACTACCATCTGTGCTATTGCATCTGTGTGCGGGAGGAATAATCTGTGACTGTGCTCCCGGGCATCTCTTTCCAGCTCTGCATTCAGTGGCGTCACGTTGGAAGCTTGAAACTGGCCTTGGTGTATTTTCACCACGGAAAGGAGGCTTGCGGGTCTGGGAGCCTGGGGTGACGGGTGCAGTCAGGAGAGACTTCCTGGAGGAGCTGACACCCGAGCCCAGGTCTGGGGAGTGAGTAGGGGTTACGTGGGCAGAGGAGGAGGGCCCGGCATTCCAGGCAGAGAGAGAATGGACTAAGGCACAGACAGGATTATTCCGATTTTACAAACATCACAACTGAGGTCGTGTCGCTCAGCACAGCTGGACAGGCCTGGAGCCAGGACCGGATTCTTGTGTGTCTGGCTCCTGGGCCCGAGGTCTTTGCACGATGCTGCCCTGGAAGGTGACACATAGGCGGACCCCTGGCAAAGCGTGTGGGACCCCTACCACGCTGCAAAAACGGCCTCCTACGCAGGGGCTCTCCCCAGTGCACCCCGGAAGCGAGGCCGTCTCGGAACGTCCCTCGGCCCAGGCACCACGCCCTGGGCTGCCTTCCTGCCGGCTCAGGAGGGAATTCGGCCGTGCCGTGCCTGGCGGGCAGGGAAGCCTTCAGGAGCCGGCGGCGGAGGGAGTTGGGCCAGGGTCAGAAAGCCGGCTGTGGCCTCTGGGGTCAGCCGTGCTCTGCCACGTTCCTCCTGCTGCGGCAGGCACTCGGGCAGGCAAGAAGAGCCCTGGATGGGGGGCCCTGACTCTGCCTTGAGGGACCTTACCAAGTCCCCAGCTGCCAGGAGCGGGGGCCCTTAGTCCCTTCTTCCCTGGGAGGCCGCGGGATCAGCCAGGTGTGGTGAGATACCAGAGACCACACAGCTGGAGCTGGGATGGCTGAACGGATCCCTCTGCCAGGCCTTCCCCATGTGACCGGCTCCTGCCCTCCAGAGCCCTCAAGCAGCCAAGTTTTGTTCTCAGCCTACAGATGGGGCAACAGGACCAGAGCCCGGGGGTCCCTGCCAGCCCCCAGGACTTGCCCTTAGCCTGGGTCCCCAAACCCAGCTGCCATCAGCTGCTCTGGGAGGCATGTGACACACGCGGGCTCCTGGGCCCCTAAGGCTTCCTTGGGAGGTTTTGGGGGGGCAGAGGGGAGGGGGCAGGCACTCTCAGATGTGACAAGCACCCCGGGTCATTGTGACAGGCCTGCAGGCTTGGGAACCCAGCTGGGACACCGTGCAGCACCCCTCCCTCCCTCCCGCCTCCAGCTGCCTCCCCGGCAACGGGGTGGGCTCCTGTGGCCAGGCGGGGGCCGGGCGGGGGGAGCAGGCTTGGGAGTGCCGGCCCCAGAGAGTCCTCTCCTTTGCCTCTCCTCCTGCCCGCTAGCCCACCACATGTCCCCAGTTCACAGGCCCCCAAGGTCGGGCGTCCCCTCGCCTGTAGAACCCAGGCTTCTGTGCAGCTTTTCGGACTCAGTTCTCAGGGCATCTTGGTCTGGAAGCTGGAGGACGGGCTGCCTGGGACCTGCGGGGGGTGCCTGGCGTAAGTGACTCCTTGGGCCCCCTTCCCACCCCCCGCAGGCCCTGCCGTGGTCCCCCTGCTGCTAGCGGGAGGCTCCCGGCCGGTGAGCACAGGATCACCCTCACCGCGCCGCTCTCCCCTTCCCAGCTTAGAGCGCGGTGACCTGTGCCGCCGCTCTCCCCTCTGTATGTCACTGCCTGGGAGACCCAACCCCGGAGACACCCGGGGGCCCTAGAGCAGGAGATCACAGGCTGCAGGGGTGCTGGGCGTCACCCCGCCAGCCCGGTCCATGCCTCCCTGGGATCCCTGTTCGCCGTCACCTCTGGGCCCCTTCCCCTTGCTTCCACCTCCCCAGGGCCCAGCCCTGAAGACCAGCATCTCGCTCAGGCCTCCGATCTTTCTCTGCCCCGCCGCGCTCCCATTAACCACCGCAGCCATGCGCCCCCGGGGCCTCAGGACCCCGGCCCGTGTCAGGCTCCCGCTCAACACCCAGCCAATAACAGGAGACGCGATTTTCCTTTTCTCCTTCCCGTTGGGCGTCTTGGTTGACCCACAGTACTTGGGAAGGTTGTGACACGGTACCTGGAAGTGGGTGCTGCTGTCCGAAATGACAGTTCTGAGTCCCCGTGGGCTGGGTTGTGGATTCCCCAGATCGGCAGGAAACCCCAGTGTCAGCACCATGCAGGTGGCTCATTTCTGGCATATGCCGGAAACCTCTTCCTGGTTGCAAGTCCAAGGTGGCAGCAGGCAGCTCACGGCCCTTCCCTGGCAGAGACTAGCTGGATGGTGTGTGTGTGTCTGTGTGTATCTGTGTGTGTCTGTGTGTCTCTGTGTGAGCGTGTGTCTAGCACGTCTCTGTGTATCTGTGTCTGTGTATGTCTGTGTGTGTCTGCATGTCTGTATATGTCTCTGTGTGTGCCTGTGTGTGTCTGTATATGTCTTGTGTGTGCGTGTGTGTCTGTGTATGTCTGTGTGTCTCTGTGTGTGTGAGTGTGTGTCTAGTATGTCTGTGTGTATCTATGTGTTTGTGTATGTCTGTGTGTGTGTCTCCGTGCGTGTCTGTGTGTGTCTATATATGTCTGTGTCTGTGTCTGTGTGTGTGTGAGAGTGTGTGCGCCCTCTGAGGACCCCAGGCCCAGATTCAGTTAGGAGGGCCTTTTGTGACTCAGCAAAAATGGGTCCCTTGTGTTCCCTCCCCCATATCCTGCCAGCAACTGGGCTCCAAAACCCAGTGCATGCCACACATATTTGGTGATTTTTATGCAGGACACAAGTGGCAGTGACTGATGTCTCTGCTTTCCATAGTTAACCACGTGTCTTCACACCGTTTTCTATCGATCATCACAGTAACCTTTAGTATGAGGTGTTTTGTTTTAAATTTAAGGAAACCACTCTTTGGGGGGCAAGAATTGAGTTTTTTAAATTATAAAAGTCACAATTTTAACCATTTTAAAGTGTATGACTGAGTGGCGTTTAATACAGTCTCAAGGTTGTACGACCTCCATTACCTCTATCCAATTCCAGAACACTTTTATCAGCCTAGCAGGAAACCCCGTACCATTGACCAGCTATTCTCCAGTCCTTTCCCTCCCCAAGACCCCGGCAGTGACTACTCTGGTTTTGGTCCCCGTGGATCTGCCCATCCTGGATGTTTCGTATAAATGGGATCAGCCTAACAGCCGTGTCCGTGTTTTAGCAAACGTCAGAGCTTCACGACTTTTTATGGACGAACCATGTTCCCGAGTCTGAATCGAGCTCATTTTGTTTATCCATTTGTCCTTCAATGGGCAGTTGTGTTGTTTCCACTCTTGCCGCTTGTGGATGATGCCTCTGTGAACGTGGGTGTGCGGGTGTCCGCGTGAGTCCCTGGTTTGGGTCATCTGGGGTCTACTTGGGAGTGGATCTGCCGGGTCGCACGGTGATCCTGCTAAGTACATGGAGGAACAGCCAGACTGCTGTCCACACAGCCACACGGAAGCCACACTTCTCAAATGGGGGCTAGAGGGGGATTTGAACCGGGTCCTCTGGGGCCAGAACCTGACGCCCCCCCCCTCCTGTTGCAGACTGTCCCCCACCTTTCCGTCTTCCCCTCAGCCCTTCCAGGCAGGAGGGGGACAGCCTCACTCCCCCTGGGAAGCCCCCCTGGGAGATGGTGCCGTGCCCACCTGAGCCGGGTCTCGAAGAACAAGAAGGAGTTACTCAGAGCCTGCTGAGGAAGACAGATGTGGGGTTGATGGGAGCAGAAACCTGCAAGAAACAGTCTAGAATTCGGGTGGCAGTCAGGGAAGCTCCACAGAGGTTGCTCTATCTCAGATCATAACAAACGTGCCCAACACACACTGGCCCTGCCCGTGGCCGGGCTCAGCCCTGAGAGCTGACCTGCACTGACCCACTCACCCACACACCTCTGGGGGGGTTGCCGGGGTGACCCCATTTACAGGTGAGTAGACTGACGCTCCAGAGGCTAGCTGGCGCAGGTGCCCTTGACACCGTGCTGTTCAGCCTCTCCATTGTGCCCCCGGGATCGGGCTCAGAGGGACAAAAAACACACTCAACGCTCACACAGCAGAGGTGGGCAAGAGGGAGGATTTGAACTGAGGCTCCTTTGCTCACCTTCCACACCGCGGTGTCCTCATCTGTGAAATGGCGAAATAAACCCTCACTTCCGGCTCTCAAACGGCGGCCATGAAAATTAAATGAAATCATGAATGTGCCCACATATGCAAATCTCCTGAAATCTCAGCCACTTCCCGGCAGGAGGAAGTCCTCTCCCGGGTGTGCTTTCAAACTTTGTCTGCAGTGGGACACGTGTCTGTAGGTGTCAGGAGGCAGGGCTCTGGCCCCACTTCTGCAGCTGGTCACCGTGGGGCCCTAACCAGATCTCTTTCCTCTGGGCTTGGTTCTGTCCGCTGCAAAGCAGAGTGATGGGGATACAGAGGGAAGGTGGGAAGCCCGAGGGCCCGGGGTGCGCTGAGGGGACCACCGCATCCTTGCTGCAGATCCCGCCTCAGGGACCAAAGTTGCTGACTGCTCCCCTCTGGGTTTTCCTTTTTATCTGAAGAGACACTTGTCGCCCGAGGAGTTCCAGGAAGTGTTTGGGATGAGCATGGAAGAGTTTGACCGCCTGGCCCTCTGGAAGAGGAACGACCTCAAAAAGAAAGCCCTGCTGTTTTGACGCTGCCGAGGCCCCGACCACGGGCACGCCTGCGGGAACCGCCAGACCCCTCCTCTTGCACTTGGCTTTGGCTTCTCTGTGTCCACGGTGGCCGGTGGGCGCCTGGAAGGGCCGGGCTGGGGCCTGGGGGCGGGAGGAGGTCCCAGAGCAGGTGCAGCGCCCCCGTTTCTGCCAGCACCGCTCCCGCCCGTAGTTTAGGGCCCAGATGCCTGGCTTTGCACTATTCCTTCCCCGCTGTTGCTTGCCATCAGGGAGCTGCTGCAAGGTCACTGCCCCGGAGATGGGGGAACAGACAAGTGCAGCCCACCCCCCAGGCCTCCGGGCAGTGCCCACCCCACGCAGGTAGGACAGAGGCGATGGGACCGGAGATTTGAGGAGGCCTGTCAATGACAGGGTCATGGGTGGGTGGGCGCACGGCGTGGCCCCCCTCACCCGCTCAGCCTCAGGAGGCACGGCCTGGCACGTGGGCCCCCCACCCCTGAGGCAGGGGGAGTGCCACCCAGGGCTGCAAGAAGCATGGGGGCTCGGTTTTCACGGCCTTTGTGATGAATCAGTGTTTAGGGAGGAACTTCAGTCTAAACGGGCACCTTCTGCCAGGGCCCCCCGTGCACTGCATTTTCCTTCCAGATCATCCCTTAGATGCCTAAATGATATCTCTAGAGTAACACAAAAAGTTTTTATTTTATTAAAAAGTAGAGCCTACTTAAAGATGACATATATAAAGAGTTTAATTCTATGGTCCCACTGAAGGGGAGTACCTCCAGCCTGATTCTCCACTGTTCGCATCTGTGTGGTTTAGGGTTTTGGGTGTGTTCCTAATACACAGAACTCCTTGTCTGTTTTCTTTGTGCTTTTTTTGCCTTTTGACCTGTCATACAGGTACCCCGAAAGGCAGACCCACTCCCCGCCCCCCCCCCCATAATGCTGTTTGTAAGTACACGTAAAGTACAGCCACCACTGTTTTTCTCGCTGTCATTTTCCAAGTCTTGGAGAGAAGACATCCTCCCCTGACGGCCAGTGCCCCAGAATGAAGGATTTCCATGTCCTCTTGGTGACATGGCCAGGGGCGTCCCACCTTCTCCCCTTCTCCCCCATAAAACACAGACACCCCCAGGGAGGGATGCTCGTGCCTGGTCCTGAGACCGACAGCCAGACCCTTGGGGAGACGGGATGGGAGGTGCCGCCTAGATCACAAAGTCAGCAGTGCATCCACGGCAGGAGGCCGGCGGGCCCCCCGCTGGAAGGCGTCCTGCTTGTGATTAGGTGTGGGCTAGAGCGTGGTGCCTGACACGGAATGTTTGTCAATGCGTTGAGAGGCCTGTGAAACACTGCAAAAGTGTCCCCAGAGTCTGTCCCCCTCCCCGTCTTTGTGAAGCTGCATCTTTCTGTGTGTCCTGGATGTTCCCATCCGTGAGTCAACTTCACTCAGCTTCCTTTTGGCCCCGTAACACGCCAGTCCCTCTGCGCACCCGGCTTCTCACCAGCCCGGCTTGGCCAGGGAGGGGAGTTCTCAGCACCTAGCACGCTTCCCTCCACTTTGCGAACTGAGCCCTGGCCACTGGAAACCCCCAGTTTCTCACTAGTGAACATCATGTCGGACTAGGGGAGCCTGGAAAAATAAAGGATGATGTATTATAACTTGTGAAAGTGAAAAGCCACTTCTTATAAAGGCGCGTCATTTCTAGGCATGGACCCCCGTCTGCTGACAGTCGTTGGGGAGAGCGTCTGCCGAAAGTGGTCGCCCCGGAAGCATGCATAGAGCCGGGCGGGACGGCCCCAGGGTTGGCATCGGGAACGCCCTGGGACAGCGCTCTCAGGGGCAGCCCCTAAGGGTGGGGGCCTCTGCTTGCTCTAGAGCCCCTCAGCTAGGCACCAGGTGCTGACGGGAGGGATGCTTATGCCTGTCCCCAGTCAGGCTGGGGAGGCAGACCGGCAAACAGACAATGACAACAAGCCTGACCCTTTGGAGAGGGTCCAGAGGAGGCCCCATATGCACCCCAGAGGTCAGGGGGCCGGGCTCTCTGAGGTGTTGCCAAACTAATTCTTGACAGATGAGGAGGCGTTCCCAGAGGCCAAGGAAGGGAAGGGTGTTCCAGGCAGAGGGAACAGCAGGAGTGGACCCTGAGCCAGAGGCAGCTTCCCCGGTTCCGGAAACATGGGTTGCTGGTTATGACTGGAGCACATGGCTAAGGAAAGGAAGAGAATGAAGGCCGGGCTCCCTCTAGGGAGGGCCCAGCAGGTCGGCAGATGTCATCCTGGGATGAAATGCTTTATAATCTCTACCTTTGTTTGCTCAGGCTGCTGTAACAAAAACCACAGACTGGGGGCTTAAACAACAAAATTTCTTTCTCTTGGTTCTGGAGTCTGAAGTCCGAGATCAAGGTGCTGGCATGATCAGGTTCTGGTGAGAGCCTGCTTCCTGCTTACAGAGGTGTGAGCTGTGTCTTCACAGGGCAGAGAGAGATCATCTCTCTTCTCATCTCGCTCAGCTTCTCAAAGGGCACTAATCCCATTGTGAGGTGCCCACCCTCACAACCTAATCACCTTTCAAAGGCCCCCTCCTAATCCATCACACTGGGGATTAGGGCTTCAGCATATGGATTTGGGGGACACATTTAATCCACAGCAGTTTCTAATCTTATTCCAGTGACATTAATGACTCTCATAAAGCCCCAGAAGCCTGTCCACATGTACACAATCTGCCCCATTTTAGTATACCTAGGTTTGCAGGTCAGAAACGAGCACATTCCTTTGCCCCCAAGGACGACCTGTCGGAGGTCCTGGTTCCACCCTGAAGCATCTCTCTCTATCTCTCCATCTCAGCAGACACTGTCACGGAATTATCCAGATCAGAAAACATCCTGAGGGTGGAAGGTGGCCCAATGGCCCTTACCAGTGACCCAGGGACACAGCATACACCTGGCCTGTCCCAGGCAAACTGGCCATGTGGTCACCCTGAGCGTACTCCCTCCACCCTCACCTCTCACCTGGGTGAACCCAGCTTCCCAATCAGCCTTCTGTCCCCACTCTCACCTCCGGACCTGTCATCTTTCACAGACAGCCAGAGTGATGCTTTGCAACCATCAGGTGGATCATGTCAAGCCCCCAGCAGCACCTTCTATGACCCCCCGCTCTCCCCTCTCCCTGCTCCACACGGGATTGGCCTCTGTCCCATACATCACAGCCACGCTGCCTTCCTTTGGCACAAGCCCTCCTGGGGTCGGGGGTGTGCTTCCTCTCCGGGCAGGGCCCCTCTCACCCCTCTTGGTCTGGCTCTGAAGTTCCCACCTCAGACAGGCCCCTCTGCTGACTCTAGGAATTTCCCCACCAATGCCCACCCCTGTGTCAGCACATTCTTCTTTTTTTCTTTGTTTCCCAAATCACAGTTTCACTTTGATTTGGAGACATCTTGTATTTTCTCTCTTCTTTTAATTTTAAAATTTATTTTATTGAAGTGTAGTTGATTTACAATGTGGTGTTAATTTCTGCTGTGCAGCAAAGTGACTCAGTTATACACATATAGACATTCTTTTTCATTTTCTTTTCCATTATGGTTTATCACAGGATATTGAATATAGTTCCCCAGCACATTCTTCTTATCTGTTTACTGATGCGTTCCCTCCAAGAGGGCTGGCCGTTTTACAACAGTGCTCTGTGACCCGTCATTGGAATACTTGGTAACAGGACTGGAGCCCAGAGTTTCTCCTGGTATCGGTGCTTCTAGAGCAGTGCAGCCCAATAGAACTTCCTGCAAAGCATTCTGTACCCACGCTGTCCAGTATGACAGCCACTAGCATTTGAAACGTGACAGGTGTGACTAGGGGATTAAGTTTTAAGTTTTCATTAGTTTAAAGGTCAGTTTAAGTAGCCACGCGTGACTAGCAGCTGCCGATTAGACAGTGCAGACCTGGAAGATTAGACACTTCCAGTGTCCTGAGCGAGAAGACTGGCTGCTGCAGGAGGCTCGGGACCTGTCATCCTGGCTAGTGGAGTGTCCGTTTGGTGCCTGCTGTGTAGGGTCATTTAGAGTACATTTGCTGAGCCCCCGTCTGCGCCTGGCACTGTCCCGGGTACTGGAGGTATGCACAACAAGCCGGTGTCCCCCAGAGTTTATACCCCCACCTGAGCCCCAGCTGTCTCGGGTTCTAAGGAGCTGCCCACCCTAAAGTCCCAAGCCAAGTCCAGCCCCGTTCTCCACGCCAGCCTTGGTGTCTGCTAATGGCACCAACCTTCCCGAATTGGCCCCAGCCTGGGCCTGTGTCAGGAGCCCCGAGACTGATGGGGCAGGGAGATGTCAGCCTATAGGCCTCCTTTCTGGACCCTTCTCCCCAGGGTAGCTGTGCCTTCTAAGCCACTGAAATCTCAACCCAGTGCTTCAGAATTCACTGCTCTGAATGTGAGGACGAAGAGAGGCTGGCAGATCACACAGCCCATCCTAAGGTTTGGCTCAGAAGTGACATGTGTCACCACCGGTCAGGCCCATTGTTCAGAGTTAGTCACGTGGCTCCACCCAGCTGCAAAGGCATTTGGGAAGCATGGCACCTGTGTGTTGAGAAGGGGAGAGGACCCGCTCTATTGGTGGGCACTCCCAGCTCTACAGCCCAGGCTCCCCGAGGCCTTTTTGTCCCCATGTTCAACCCCCCGTGCCTTCAGTGGCTCTTTGTATGAATCGTCAGGAGGCCCCCAGCTGCCCCGGTCACCGTCCTCTGCAGGTGAGCTGCCCTCATTCATCAGTGCCCGGCTGCCCACCAGCGCCACATGGACCCCAGTCCCTCCGAGGCTTTGCCATGTTCCGTGCCCCCTCCTTAATGCGCTTTACCCACAAATCACCATGTCCTGCCCGTGACCTGCTGCCCCCAGCACAGGTAACCAGACCAAGAATGGCCCCTGAGCCCGCTGCAGAGCAGACTCCCTGGTCACCCTGTGTGACATTTCTTCCCCAGCCCCAGCCCGAGAGGCTCCATTCTGCGTGGAGATGGTCCACCCAGTCAGCACTCTCT